AATGTCATCATCCCCCTATGTGGAATGAATGCTTGGTGGGCTTCATAAAATGCCATTTTGGAATACGTGTAGCAAAAAAGCAGATATCTGTATGTAAGAGTTTTTGCAAGCTTTTAAGCTATAACTGTGCATATGCTTTTAAAAAGCTAGCTGGATGCCTTACAGTATTAATATTTTGGCTTCCTTCTTTATTCCTTTGCTGTGTAGGCTTTTTATGTACCTTGCTTCTATTTCTTTGTTTGTGAATGGTCTCTCTCTCTCTCCCTCCCCTTTCTTGTAATGCTGTTGCTTTATCTCTCTTCCATTCATATTTTTCCCCTTTCCTTTTGCTGCATGGAGACTCTCTGCTGTACAAGTGTAAGTATTTTTGGCGGCTCTGCAGTTTCTGTCCATACTACTTGACATTCTTGTGCTCTGTTTGCTTCTGTGCTTCCTGGCTGGTCTCCCAGGAGACTGTGGTGTTGTCATCCATCTGCAGATCCTGAATGAAATAGGCAACAATTTAGAGACAAGATTGGATTTTACAAGATGGTTCAGCCAGTAAAACAGATGATGGATTTTAAATATTCCTAGCCATGTGTCTGAAAGCAAGCAGGGTGAAGGAGGGCAGCAAAATTCAAGAGAATGAAAGAGCTCCTGCCTCACATGTCATGAAGAGAGAAGATGTAATCACTTAAACTTCCAGAATTTTTCTCTTTGATTCTTTCCCTTTTTCTTTTCTTTTTTTCCCCCTTTTTCTTTTAGTGCCAGTACTGGAGCTTGAACTCAAGACCTTAGATTTTTCCACTCAAGACTAGTGTTCTACCACTTGAACCACAGCTCTACTTCTCTGTTTTTGTTGGTTAATTGGAGATAAGAGTCCCATGGACTTTTTTTTGCCCAGGCTGGCCTTGAACCATGATCCTCATATCTCAGCCTCCTGAGTAGCTAGGATTACAGGTGTGAATCATGGGTGCCTTGGCTTGTTTCACTTCTTGCCATTAGGCCCAGAATTGTAGAAAATTGGCATCATGAATTGTTTCTTACATTAGAGGATTTACCTAGCCTACCTCTCAACTGGTATTATTTGGCAGTTTCTTAAACCTCAAGGAGGGAGAAAAAGATTTCTGATTCTTCAAGTGAGTGTATTATTTGTTATTTTCATGTGCAAAATGGAAGAAACAACAAAAAGTCCTCCAAAAAGCAAGGACACTAGCTTGTCCTTTTCTTTTTTTCCATGATGATATAAGCAAGTTTGGACTCATGTAATTAAACTCATATATATATATGGAAATTACATGATAAAGGTGTGTTTGATAAGGAAAATAGCGTATTATTTATTAAGTTCTAACTTTAATTTTTGACTAGTGGTTAAGGTGGCTGTGTCTTTATTGAACTACATGCAGAATAGTTTCAAATACATTATAATAATTGGATCAAATGAATAAAATTTCAGGGTAATGTAAATATTGATGTTGCTTTTGGATTCTTAGACCAGGCAGCCATGGCATTTTGTTCCTATTATAGCCCACAACAGATTTTATTAATGATTTGTGACTCCAAGAAAGAAATTCATGCTTCCCACTGAAGTTACATTATAAAATGAGGATTTAGCTCATTTTTCCTCATCTTTCTTCAAGATGTGGATATTGAAAATTACTTCTTCTTTTTCATAAAATGCCTTTTTGAAAGGAAGCTCATTTTTTTTTTTCTAGGCTTAAAGTAACATGGGATAATGTTAACCACAAATTGATTGATGAGAGGTCCACTTGGAATATTCACCTCTTCTTTTTCTCTTGCTGACCCCCTCCATCTGGTGTACAGTTTGTGATTTCCTGGCCCCAGGAATACTGAGGCATTGACAAGCGTCTAAGGAAAGTCAGTGCGGACTAAGAAACAAAGAAAAATGAACCCTTTCATTTGTACAAAGACAGAAGAGAACTGTTATAAAGATTTGATTTTTTCCCCAAGATGTAATTTATCAATCGAACAGTTACAGAGAAGAGAAAGGTAGGGTACAGACTAACCACATTTCTGAAAAAAACATGGATACTTACTCCTAAATAATTCCCTGGGTTGCTGGGCACTGATGGTTCCCATCCGTAATTGTAACCTGCTGAGGAGGCTGAGATCTGAGGATCACAATTTGAACCCAGCCAGGTCAGGAAAATCTGTGAGACTCTTATTTTCAATTATGCATTCATTCATGCACACACACACACACACACACACACACACACACCCTACCTGGAAGTAGAGCTGTGGCTCAGTGTTAGAACCTTTAACAAAAGAGCTCAAGAATAGTACGTAGGCCTTGAGTTCAAGCCGCAGGATTGGCACCAACAAAAATAGAAAATAAATAAATACCTGAGTGGATAATCATAGTTCATGCTTCCATTTCCTCTTACTTTAGATATCTACATGAGTCTATAGGAATCAGCCTGTAAGGTTGAGCAGGTCTGTACTTTCTGAGAAAAAAAAATTTCAAAGAAAAGAAAGAAAATAGAGAAATGAGCCACTTTTTTTTTTCTTTTTGATATGCTTAGCCCTTGAAAGAACAAAACTAAAAGCAATAGACTCTGCCTTATAAATTCTCTTTTATTTTAGCCAACTGCTGTTAGCCCTGTCCAAACATGATAGAACTTCAAAAATAACAGATATGATCAATTCAGTAAAAGTTTTGTAAAAATATAATTAGAAGTTTTCTGCACTTGTGAAGAGCATACGAAATATTAAGGGAAAAAAAAGCAATGAAGTGTGCTAGAATGTACTTTTCTCATAATCAAATCTTATACACTAAGCTTTAGGTGCATCTAATTGAATTGATGACCAGAAATCCTAGATTCTTACATTTCTTAATATGTCTCTAAAATTGAACTAAATTTTCTATTTACAGATAGGCATCAGGTTTTAAGTGAATTTCTTTTTATATGTATATCTGGTCATATATGTATAGATACACTAAAAATTATATATTCCTTCCTCTGTGGTTATAACTATTATATATTTGAAATGTCACAGTTTTCAAATATTTTTTATATATTTGGTGTCTATTTCCAAGGCTTTAGTGAAAGGGAAACTAGAGCCAGATAATTTTTATCTATAAATACTCTTTGTATAAAATTTAATCAAGAGGCACACAAGAAAAAAAATGGGGACATCCTTATACCTTTTTCAACTTCTGTTTATTTGTGACTAGATGAAATTTCCCAGAAACTTAAACCCCAGGCTACTCCTTGATTCTTTTCTCTACCAAGGTTCTATGAAAGATGTACAGAACTCTGAAGAATTTTTCATAGTACACAACATAAATTTTGGTTGTTTGTGTCTCCTGAGATTATTAGAGGAGTAGAAGAGGAGTATAAGTTACTAACTTCTCTAGCTAAGTACAAGGCTGGTTTTGAGAAATACCTTCAAACTGTATCCCTTTCCAGTTGCATTGTGTCAGTGGTGCTTTTACCAAACTTGAAAACCTGCTGCTTTATAAGTAGCTGTTCTTGAATTTTTTTTTTTTTTTTTTTTGCATTTCAGGAAAACAATTCTTGTTTTAAATACAACTGCTCATAATTTTTCTCTCCCTTTCCTCTCAACAACAGATAATCACAAATGGGTGTTATTACTAACATTAGTTTTTTTCAAAACTGTAAGGTTGTTCCTCCTCCTCCTCCTCCTCCTCCTCCTTCTCCTCCTTCTTTTTTTTGTGACATTAGTCCTGGGCTTGAACTCAGGGTCTGGGCGCTGTACCTTAGTTTTTTGGTTCAAGCTGGTGTTTTACCACTTGAACCACAACTCCAGTTTCAGTTTTTTGGTGGTAAATTGGAGATAAGAGCCTCATGGACTTACCTGGTGAGGTAATTCATAATTCAGCTAGGATAACAGATGTGAACCATTAGCACCTGGCAGTTGTTTGCTTTTAAAGGTTGGTGTGAACCAGTTTTTTTTTCTTTAAAACAAGGAATGTTTTCGAACGACACTGATTTTTTTTAAAAGAAGGCTTAAATGAGAACCTATTAATTAAAAGTGTATAAGCTAAGTTTTTTCAGTTACATTATTTCTTAGTTTGTACTCAGACCAGTTTCCAGGATGGAACTGTTGTGAACATTACTGTAAACCATCACCATGGATTGATAGCGGGCAGTGGCCAGCAGGTGCTGGCTAATTGTCATCACTGATTTTATCCCTGATATAGCTCCTAATGACAGCTGGTGTGTCACCTTTATCTAATCATGAGTTGGTTTTGTCCTTCAAGTTTATTTATATAGGAGATGAAAAAAGTTCCTTTCAGTTTTGGCATTGGTGTGATCCTACAGAAGAAGAAGATAATGTCTTTCTGAAGGTGATATTCTCCAATAAGGAATTGGCACTAATGCTGGGAGAATGATTTTATGTTTTGAGTTTGGGTCTCCCTCTCTCTCTCTTTCTCTCTCTCTGTCTATTTCTTACTCATTCTTTCTTCTTTTTGAATTAACAACTTTCTGATAAGTGTGATCTAATAAGAGATATTTGAGTTATGACATCTCTTAATTTGTCTTTGTGTGTCATGTAATGATCCAGTCTTTGATGGCAAACTGTGAAACAGAAATTGCTAAGCTACCTAACGCATGGAAGTTGTCCTCCAAAAATTCCATATATTTGCATTAATGTTGCTGTGACAATTTATAATTGTGAATAATTTTTCTCAGTTTTGATAATTATTAGTCTATGAGTTTAATTCTTTATTTCAAAAAAACTTAACATCTTCATAGATACCTTGGAGTTCAATTCTATATCCTTGTTCTTTTCAACTGCAGGATTAAACTTTAATTGGTTAAGCCTGGGAGAAAAAGAATGTGAGCTGTACTGTATGAGAAAGTTGTAAGCATTTAGAAATGTTATCAGTTCAGCTCCTTGAATCTGACTATCTGCAAAAGCTGAGCCATCCTTTAAAGAAATTAAACCAATTGGTGTCGAATGTTTTTGAAGTGTGAAAGGCAAGTTTTCTATGCCTACCTGTCTAAGTACTCTCTGTATTTGATTGCTAGATGACCCCCAAATCCAAAAGGAAGAGCATCCACAGCCGGATGCTGCGGCCAGTGTCTAGAGCTTTTGGTGAGTATTTCACTAAAGCCAATGCCAGCCATTTCCTTGTGACAAGAAACACCTCCAGTGAGGAACACAGATGTTCCATAGGAGTACTTGCTATGTGTAAACATGAGAAGAAGGTGGTTTGAGAATGGATGTCTTCTATTCCTGAGACACTTAAAACTATTTATAGGAACTTTCTGCATTATTTGCTACCATCTCTCTACCTTATGCTTTGACTTGAGGCTTTGTTTTATTTTAGAAATGGAGTTTGACCTGGATAAAGCACTGGAAGAGGTGCCAATTCACATCGAAGACCCTCCTTTCCCATCCATCAGACAGGACAAGCGAAGCTCCGGATTTATCTCTGAATTGCCCTCGGAAGAGGGGAAAAAGCTGGAGCACTTTACAAAGTTAAGGCCAAAGCGAAATAAGAAGCAGCAGCCCACACAAGCCACGGTAGGTGGGTGAGGAAGGGTCCCCTCCCACTTTCCTTCTTGTGGAAAAGTGGCCCCTCCTGTACACCACAGACATTTATAGCAAAGGAAACTAGAAGCTCCTTGTGTGTGTGTGCGCATAGCATCTCAATTTGGTGCTCTGTGCATCTGGAACGAATGATGCTGTCAAGGTTCCAGCTTCAGAACAGAGCTTTCTTGGGAAGCCCTAGAAAAACATGAGCTATGGGAAGTAAGACATGGCTACATGTAGAAATTTTGAATGTCAGAGCAAAAAGATACGAAACAGTTACCAAAGAGTTTAATTGTAATTATAAGTCATCTGCATTTCATTTTGGATTGTGTACATACATCACCCATCTGCCTACTTTGGCATCTTGCCATGGTCAGTATTGGACAACCTACAGGTGCTATGATAGGGAAGGGCTGAAGGGGGAGCACTAGAGCACAGGGTGCACAGCGGCTTGCTCCATCCACTTGTGTGTGCTAAGGCGCCTGAACGTGACTTACTTTGGCATCCATCTCCTGAGTGTCTGTCTCCTCTTCTGTATCCCATATAGCCAAACTGTCCCACCTCCATCACTGAAAAAGAGTTCTGTCCTACCATCCCTGTTCCCACTATCCTATCATTCTGCCACCCTCAAATCCTCCTTCTATACCAGCTGACTCCCCCAAACTACCCTCCTAATATCATTTCTGGCTTTCCACCACCACGACCTTCTCATGGCCTCTTTTCAGCCACACGTTACTCAATGGCTTGGTGCAGAAAGTTCTGTCCTCCCTGAGAGGTGATTTCCCATTGGTCTTCCTTGTCACCCATCTTCTCAGTTTTGTTTTTTGGTTTTTTTTTTTTTAGTTATCTAAATTTTGTTTCAGGCTCTGTTGTTGACCAAACCTGTCTACTGAAGTTTGAATTTTCAGGTATGGTTATGTCTCCTGAACTGGAAGGTTCCAGAACATCACAGGTGCAAAAAGTCTATAACTGAGTGCTTAACTTTCCCTGTCAACCTGTCCTCCCTCTTAGATCCTCAGCCTCCCATGGGGCATCTCTAGTTGACATATTAAAAAAACAGATAGGACCCGAATCTCCCGCCCTCACCTTACTCCTTTGCTGTCCTAAGCCCCATCTGGCTTCAGTAGCCCTTTCTTTCTGATTGCTTTCTCCTGGGCTGGGAATGACTGTCAGACCCTTCACATCTCTACTGAGACAGAAACCCCTCCTTCCCAGTCTCGCTATTCTCACAGAGCTATTTGCATGGCTCTGGGGAAACTTGTTCTCACAGATGTGCACAGTGCACGGCCTCAGCAACTCTCTGTGGAAGGTGTTTATCCTGTAATGGTTTTCATCACGTTAGTTTCTGCATGCCAGCCTCCTTGTCTGTAAATTCTTTGTAGGCAGAGCTGTAACTCATCATCCTTATAAAAATGCTCAGTGCTCACTATGGGTTTAGCATAAAGCAAATATTTAGTAATACTTATGCATTAATTGATGGCTGGCTGGAGATATAAACAGATGAGAGTCATAGCAATTTGTCCACATGGTTAATGATTCATTTGTTTTAGATTAGGTTTCAGTTACATTGGGTTGATGTCCTTCATTGGAGTCTGAAGAGCTTAACACAGTCTCCCCTCCCCTAAAAAAAAAAAAAAAAAACCAACAGAAAAGACTTCTAGTGCATTATTTTCTTTCCCAATTTACTTCATTGTAGATATTTTGAAGTGTACTATTATATGTAATCTTGGAGGAGGGGGAGTAATTTTTTTTTCTTTAAGTAGGGGAAGGGCTTTCAGCTAAGGGAGAAAGATACCCCTCCACACTGTACTCACTCTCCATTTTAAATTGTTATCGAGTAAATGTTCTGTAGTTGATTCTATGAATGTGGGAGCATGATCAGCAGCATGACTTCTGTATGATATTATGGCTTCAGTTTCCCTAGGATTAAGCCGGTGGCTCTTGGAAAAAGAATCAAAAAGGGAATGGACTTGTGATGGAGTACACTAGATAGATACTGCATGGTATCTATCTAGAGAAGAGATTACTTTTCTCACCCATTACTGGATCCTGACCAAAGTACCTAAAGCAAAAGACAAATTAACATGAGAAAAGCATAACTGAATTAATTTTTGTTTTATCTGACATGGAAAGCTTCAGAAGTAAATGCACAAGGGAAGAAGAAACCTGTGTGCTTTTATTCTGATGGAGAAGTATGGGTCTGTAGACACTACGATCATAAACTATAGGAACATAGCAGTAAGGCCTGGGGATAGATTCATCTCTGTGTCCCTGTGTCCTCAAAGGTAAGGAAGTTTCCTTCTTCAGATGTAGGGCAGCTACCTCTAGAGTGAAGGGAGTGTTACATGCTTCAGGTGGGAATGACCTTTCTGAACCTACTGTTTTTCTAAGTTACCACAGTGCTGTTTTCAGGTGCTGTGTTCTGAGCCTCATCAGTATGTTCTAGAGAAACTTTACCTTTGTTCAAGGTCAAACCAGCCCATTTCAGGCTCTTCCTTCTTAGAGACTGCCTTTTATAACCCAAAAGTGAGTACCAAGAAGAATGGACTGTGGTCATAGCCTAAATAAATCAGGTTTCCCCCAGGAGCTTTGGTGGACTGAATTAGCATGTTTTTTTTTTCTTGGTTTCATAGTAAAGATACAACACTGAATGGTTCCAGTTTACAGTTTTTCAAGTGCTTTCATGTCTAACAGCCTTGTGAGGTGGCCATACAGCTACTTTCACCTACCTTTTCCAGGAAGAAATAGATGGTAGCGTCAAGTAAAACATTTATCCCTACTGTATGGTCACAGCAATCATTTAGTATTGACACTGATTTTCTGGCTATTGTTAACTAAAATCAGTTTATACTGTCTTTCTTAGCATTTCTAAGTGTTATCTCTACTGCCCCAAAGAGGTATTCCAGATATGAGAAATTTCAAAGACAAGGATCACATTTTTTTAATTTTTAAAATTTTATTGTAAAGGTGATATACAGAGGAATTACAGTTACATAAGTCAGGTAATGAGTACATTTCCTTTTGAACAGTGTCACCCTCTCCCTCATTTTCTTCCAGTTTTTTCCCCTCCCAACTTCCTCCTCAAGTTGTATAGTTCATTTCCATCATAGTTGTCTAGTGGGTGTTACTGCTGAATTGGTTCACCCTTTGTCCCACTATATCTGCGCTTTCCCCTCCTCTCCCCAAATCAGAGCTCAGAAATTAAACCTACCAAAAATAAATCCCCAAAGAAACAACAATCCAATTAATAAATGGGCTAAAGACTTGAAGAGAAATGTCTCCAAAGAAGAAATAAAAATGGCCAATAGAAACATGAAGATGGGTGTGACATCTCTGGCCATAAAAGGAATGCAAATCAAAACAACATTTAGATTCTACCTCACTCCAGTTAGAATGGCCATGATCAAGAAAATTAACAATGGCAAATACTGGAGGGGATATGGCCAAAAGGGAACACTTCTACACTGTTAGTGAGAGTGTAAACTTGTTCAGCCACTCTGGAAAGCAATATGGAGGCTCCTCAAAGGACTAAACAGAGCTTCCCCATGGCCCAGCAATCCCACTCGCAGGCATCTGGCAATTGATCACAAACCAGGCCTCACTAAAACCACCAGCACAGCTATGTTCATTGCAGCATTGTTTATCAAGGATCACTTTAAATTCCAACATGTCAGTGTCTGTCTGGCTAAAGTTAATAATATTTAGACTGAGAATGTGGCTTAGTGGTAGAGTGCTTGCCTAACATGCATGAAAGCCCTGTGTTCAATTCCTCAGTACCATATAAACAGAAAAAAAAAAAAAAGAAGTGGTGCTATGGCTCAAGTGGTAGAGTGCTAGCCTTGAGCAAAAGAAGCTCAGGGACAATGCCCAGGCCCCGAGTTCAAGCTCAAGGACTGGCAAGAAACAAAAACCAGATAGCATTGTAACTTTATTTTTTTTTCAAACAAAACAAATCAACCTTTTACACTTAAATTGATCTTACATTGAACAGAAAAAGCTGGAAATGGCACTATGGCTCAAGTGGTAGAGCACTAACCTTGAGTAAAAAAAACTCAAGGACAGTGCCCAGGCCCTGAATTCAATCCCCAGGACTGGCAAAAAAAAAAAGCGGGGGGGGGGGGGGGGGTGGGGGAGGAAGAGATAATATTGTAAATTTTAATTTTTGCAAAAAAAACCAAATCAACCTTTTATACTTACATTGATCTTACTGTTTTGATATGCATGTAGAATGCTAAGGTTTGAACCCAGAGCTTTGTGCATGCTAGGCCAGTGCTCTATCATGCAGGTATGTCCCTAGCTCACTATTAAAAATAAATTACAAAAGTATTTTAATTTTTAATCTTGTGTGGCAAATTACAATCATTTAAAATTGCCAAGCATCTTTTAAATAATTGATGTAAACCTTTTTTAACTTTATATTTTTTTCTTGTTTTCCTGCTTTCCCCTAAACAATAACAAGAACAAGAATAATAACAAGAAAGAATGTATATACCATCTTGTCCATGTAATTAAAGCACATATAAGGACTCTTAAGACATTACATTATGGCTGGCTGTAGAGTTTCATCACCTCTTTGGTAGGCAAGATGTGAGGGGTTCTCCCATTCTTGGCAGGATATATATGTACAAGGTTTGATCTTTCTGACCCTGGGCTAACTCCTTTCTAAATTACCAGCATTGTCTACATCATTGAATTGTCTTGAAAAATAAATGGGTCGAAAGCACACAAACTTGTATTAAATGCAAATATTATTTTTCAGAGCTCATCTATTAATATTAGCTCTTACAAAAAGTAAATATTGGCTTTTTCCTTGGCTCCATGTCTCCCTTCCTCCATTCTAAGATGGAGAAGGAAAAGAAGAAAGTCTGATTTATTGCCTCTATTAAGCCACCCTTGCTAATTTGGGAGGAGTCTTTCATTAAGTAACAAGTCATATATAAGAAATTCTTCTCTCTCTGTCTGTCTCTCTGTCTGTCTCTGTCTCTGTCTCTCTGTCTCTCTCCCTCCCTCCCTACCCCTGTACGGCCTTCACCAGAAACCAATGCCAGTACCACATCACCATACCCTCGGAACTGAGAACAAAATAAGGCCCTTTTCCTAATAAAGGATCCAGCTTCAGATATTTTGGTATAGCAGATTGAGACACAAACCCTGTAGGCACCCTAAATTTAAAAAAAAAAGAAATTCCTATTCAAAATTCTTTTATAGTTGGAGTGACTTCAGAAGTTTTTGCTTTTGGTGAATGTGAATGAAGTGAGAATGGAAATGGTATTTGGGAAGATCCTAATTTTTCAGAATACATATACAAGAGTATAGCAGACAAAAGAGAAATGTATTAAGTATGATAAGCCTAGCCATTATGTGATAGGAATTTTTATTAGCTAAATCCCTGAGTTCATTTGTTGCTCCCATCATAGTCCACTGTGGGCATTTCTGGTCCCTACAACAGTCATTCAGAGACTCAGGCTTCCTTCACTCATGGCTCTACCATCTTCTTTCATCATGGCAGTCCCAGCCATTCAGCACTAATGAAGCACTAAGATTGATATCCATGAATTTTTGTGGGCCAAGCCTGTAAACATGGTCTTCATTGCACTGGTTTATAATCTATTTTTATTAGCATATTCCATATGGAGGGACATGCAACAGAGAGTGTGAATTACCTAGAAGTCCTTATTACATCCCCCTGGCTAGAAACCATACACACACACACACACGCGCGTGCACACACACACTATTGTTAGACAATTTGGAAAGGTCAATGTTGAAGCTAATCACATTGGTACTTTAAAAGAATCAAGTTGTTTTTTTTTTCACTAAGTAAGAATTGGTAAATAGATCCTGGACAAACACATCGTCATTTCTGCTATTGTTTTTAAGTTAACAATTTTTTCATCATGTTTTGATATTTTTTTCAATGAACAGTTGCTTAATTTAACTTTTTCAGGATTGGCATTGATCATTTTCTGTTTTGTTTTGTTTTTTGTTGTTGTTGTTGTTGTTTTTGGTTGGTCGTGGGGCCTGAACTCTGGGCCTGGGTGCTGTCCCTCAGCTCTTCAGCTCAAGGCGAGCACTCTATCACTTGAGCCACACCACCACTTGTGGCTTTTTCTGCTTATGTGGTGCTGAGGAATTGAACCCAGGTCCTCATGCATGCAAGGCAAGCACTCTATCACTGAGCTACCTTCCCAGCCCCTATTTTTCTGTTTTAACCTGATGTTGTGGTAATCATATCAATAGATTTTTTCTAATGTTGTGCCAGACTTGCTCATTTTTTTTGCAATCTCCTAACAAACTGAGAGGTTTTATTTGTCAATATTCTTATACGATTGTTATATCTATACGCATAAATGGGAATCCTGTAATTACTCTTTTTTTCTTGTCTAGACTATCCCTCTAGTTTGGGTTTCAAAGTCATACTTTATTTATAAAATTATTTGGCAGCCACCTTTCCTTTCCTAATCTCTGGAACAAATTGTATGTAATATAGTCTGTTCCTTCCTCTCCTGGAACACCATCCTTAACTGAAGTGTTCTCTGTGTGCCATTAGTATATGATCTGTATATGTAAATCTATCCAGGTTACTTAATTCTTTTTGAAACCATTTTGATAATTTGTTTCTCTATATATTGTCCACTTAGTATAAATGTTCATTTAGGTTGAAGTTTTTTTTTAAGAGTTTACTCTCTTCACAGCCCCCCTCATTCTTTTCATTTTTAATCTGTTTTAATGTTTGTTCCTCAGACAGGGGATTGCCTTTTATATTAGTCTCTTTCAAACCATCATTTTGAGTTTTATCCATCTTCTCAAGTTCATTAATTTTTGTCTTATATTAGTCTTTATTTCCTTTGAGTTCTTTATTTCTCACCTTGTTTCCTTAAGTCATCAATTTTCCATGATTCTTACTGTCTAATGCATGCATATATACTACCATGATTATTCAGCTTCCTAATTAACACTCTCTAGTCATATTTATTCACAGAGTTACTAATGCACCTAATTGTCCTAACTTCCTTCCTGCCCATCTCCATCCAGCCTAGGAAGATGTAGTGGGAGTTTTGGCAGCTGTCTTATCAAAAGCCAGGTGCAGCGTTCAGGGTTTTCCCCAGGCACATTCCCTTTACTCATCCTGGTAGAGGGAAAACAGAGGGTGGTCCGAATTGCCTTTATTCCTCACAATCACCAACTGATCTTCTAAGTACTCCCAAATTATATCGTTTGAGCGATTACTTATACACTGGAGATGCAAAGAAGTCTGCTTTCTTTATTTCTCAGACATCACTGGTTTTGTTTGCAAGAAGCCTTTCTCCAAGGCAAGTGCAGTCTGTTTGGTCAGCACTAGTTTATAGACTCTCTTCTCTCTTTCCTACAACTGTGCTGCTCTTTTCAGTCTGATTTTTATTCTCCTTGACAGAAAAGACTTGAATTCAATCTTTTCCTTTGGCTAGTGAATGAGCTAAAACAGCATGTGCACTTGGCCTTGAACTCTCTTACAGACCACATTTCATTTCAGTCTTCAGTTTTTTGGCTGCTTGTCTCAGGCCAATGGGTACCTCCTGCTTCCTATTTAAACAGCTGCCTTTTAACACATACCTCACTGAAGATCTTCCAGTGATCCTGGACTTCCCTTAACCTGTCTGCTCTGGGTCTTTTTATCTTTAAGATGACAGGGTTGGACTGGGAGATGTGTGAGGTGCAGTCCAGCACTAAAACCTGGCCTGACCTGCAGAGAAGCAGACAGCTCTGTTCAGCTCTGTGCCTCCATTTCTGAAGCCATTGAAGTTATCCGCATCCCCAGAGAGCCTTTTGTGCCAGCTGTGAACTCTGTTTCAAAGCAGGAGCAAAAGAAAAGGGCTGAGGGGGAGATATTATACAAGTGAAGCTTAATCTCCTGTGCCTCCCCTTAAAGCAGGAAGGAGAGTTATTTGAGAAGCAGCTGGAAGAAAGCCCCATGATAGGACCCAGTGTCCTGAGGTCCTAACCTTCCTCATTCATTAGTGATGTGATAGGTGTGGATAGCCTTTGCTCTCTGCACCACTGTTTGATCTGGAACTATCCAGCAACTAGGATAAAGCTGTATTTGCTTTTCAGTTCAAAGGCTAGATAAGAGGGTGAAATAATAATGTGCAAAACACATGTAAATTTTTGCGCTTTGGCCAACTTAGGGCTCTTAACTACTGCTGTTGAGGTATTCCCCCTTCTTGTCCAAAAAGAAAAATGATAATATAAGTAAGCTCTGTGTTACTTTATCATTTGTAGTCCAAAGAAGTTATTCAGTGAGCTGCTTTCTGTATATAAATGAATTAATAATTCTGCTATTTCTCTGTAGCAATACATATGAAAAGCTTGCACCGGTCAATATAAAGTACTGTTTAGATGAGACGTTGTTTCTATTGTTCACACTGCTCTTTATTATCTGTTGTCTGCTCACTCTTCAGCATTTCATATAGATTTTTCACAGCCTACTAACCCTCGTTTCTGATATACCAGTCGTCATGAATTCCCTATCAGACATCGGGTTTATAGTGCATTTTAGAAACCTTGTTTCTTCCTGTCTACATTATGGTTGTCCACATGGCTTCTATCTCAGCAGCTTATGTGTTCCCTATTTTAGTGAGTCTTGTCCCTCCTGTGGCACTTTTTCAACACTTTCAATTCAGCAATACATGTTTGATGAATTAAGATGAAGGTAAGTTAACTGTATTTGTATTTTCAACAGGTCTGTGCTGTCAACATTGTCTCTCAAGATGGAGAACAGAATGGCCTTATGGGGAGAGTGGATGAAGGTGTAGATGAATTTTTCACCAAGAAAGTGACCAAACTGGATTCCAGGTGAGTTACTTCATTAGCAATACTATCTAGTTCCCATTTAAGTCACTAATAGTTACAATTAAACACAGCATATTAAGTCTTTTTTTAGATAGAAAATGTACAGTTGTGTTGAGTTTATAGCATATAGTCTCTCAAGCCAGCAACATACGTGTCACCTAGAACATGGCAGAAATGCTCATCCTCAAGGCCCTAACCACAGGCCTAGTGAATCAGAAACAAGATAGAGCACAGCAGTGTTTCCATAAGCTCTTCAGCTTAGGTGGAGGCACTTTTCTTAACCAGACCTAAAAATATACCACCTCAATGTATTTTGGCTGGCGGGGCGGCGGGGGGGGGGGGGGGGGGGGGCGGGGGGAGGGTGGAAAGGGGGGGTGCTTTTCTCATTCACTCAAATTATAAGACTCTGAGCACTGCCATATCAGGGTTCCTTACTTTGAGATTCTCCTTGTCCATAATTTGATACATTTGACAGGGGATGGGGTGGAGGAAGCTAAGTCATTGCTAAATGGCATGATCATATGGTGTCAGAATAATAGAATTGGCAAAGAGGTTAGTCTCTGAAGACTTTTTCTTGCATTTCTTTTTTTTTTTTATTACTTAGGATGCTATTTTCTTAGAAGTTAGCTTGGTGGTGCTTCTATTAATAATAATTGAACTGGAAATACTCCAGTCTTTAAACCTAGTCTGTTCTCACCTAAATGCAGATCCATCCCCAAATATGCTTCTCACAAGGCTGTGTGTCTATGAAGTATTCTTCACCTTGAGATATCAGATTCAGGAAGGTGTTTAAACCGTACTGATAAGTGTAGGGCGGGCAGCCCCTGACAGGGAGGGAAGACCCTAGTCTGTTCTGTAGATGTTTGTGCCTTATCTCCCTTCTGCAAAGTGATGAGATAGAAGTAAGCCTGATTTTTATATCAATAACAGTATAACTTGCTGCATCTTGGGAAGTTTAGGACCCAATTTTTTGTCTTCTTTGACACTGGCCTTGATGCTTAGCTCACTACAATTTGGCAAAATTCTATTCTATTTTTCAGGAACCTTACCTGTAAAGCTCATCTATTCTTTGCCACTTTTCCCATGACTGCTCCATCACCACAAATTAATTGTTTTTCCTCCCCTGCTGACTTAGTACATTTTATTTTCATCCTATGCCCACATCTGTTAGAGTACCTACAATCCTTTGAGAATTTGTTTGGTGTGTAATTCTTTTACAATACAAGGATTGGATGAATGTATTTTCAGTGTAAAAGATTCAAGAAATACCAACATTAACAGAGCAAACTGGAAAACCTTTCTGGATAAATAGCTGTGTAATGTTTTCAAAACTTTTTCCAAATAGGATACTGTTCTTCCAGAGTCTGTTTTTGTTCCAGGTTGAATCTTTTTTTTTTTTTTTGTAATGGTGCCAGGTTGAGCTTGAGGCCTTAATGCATGCTGTACTATATCTACATCCCTTGATTTGGTCTTGATTTGTAACCCAGGCTGGCCTTGAACTCATGATCCTTCTGCATCTTTCTCTCATGTGCTGGGATTGTAGGCATGTACGCTATACCCAACTAAGACTTGCTTGGAATTGAACCCAGGACCTTGTGCATGTTGGGCAACCACTCTACTACTGAGCCATCTAGACCTAGCCCTTAACTTCAGTCACTGCTTTTGAATTCAAGACAATTTTGAACTTCCATATAAACTACAGATAGCATTATATACTCTTTTCTTAAACTTTAGAAATGTGTATTTAAGTAGTGGGAGATTCACAGATATTTGATAAAGACCATACATACTGTGAAACCTGTCCCACTGTGGTTTCTTCTGCCATTATGATACTTTAATCATTATTTGTCTCTGAACGAAAGTTGGGGAAATTTGATGGGTGTAAAATCACTTTCTGCAAAGATACTACGCTAGGAAAATTCTGGTTATGTTTCAGGGCACAAATAAAACTACCCATCTCTGTTTTCAAAAATCCAATGTAAGTTTTTTTTTAATTTTATTTTGTTATTAAAAAAATAGACATCAGCCCAGCACAAGTGTTAGACTCTGAGTTCAAATCCCAGTAGCAGAAAAAAAAGATTGCCAAGGTATATGTCAAAATTATAAAGGAATTATGAAGAAGTTTGAAAAATCAAAGTTATGTACACTCACAGTTTAAAATATCAAATGTTTAATTGGCTATGGTGGCACATGCCTGGAGGTAGAGGTTGGAGGATCAGAAGTTCAAGGCCAGTCCAGACAAGGTAGCAGCAAAACCCTATCTCAAAAACAAAATGAGGTGGAGCTCCATGAGCATAGCTCAAGTGATGAGCTACTTGCATAGTATGCACAAGACCTTGGGTTCAATTCCTTACTTCTTCCACTCCCAATTCCCAGTAGTAACTAATAATTTCTCTTCATTAGCTGTTTGGTTTGTTTCATTTTTTTCTTAATAATATGTTCCACCAACCTCTGTTTTACAGTTTTATTTTAGATGATAATTGTAACTATTAAGTTCTTATTATACAAATGACAGTGTAACTCATCTACTCTGTCCCCACCAGTATTTTCCCTCTTTCACTGTGTCTTTCTTTTTCCAATCTTTATTTAATTTTATCATAATTGTTAGATTAATATTTAGTATTCATTCTAGCTATGTAAATATGCACAATTGACTTATATATTGTGATTACATTTTCTTTCCAATAAAACTTTTTATTTTTCCTGGAGTTAATAACTATCCCCCTTTTCATTTATTTTCTGCATTCTTGTTTTTCACTTACGCTCTACATCTCTAGTAAACCACAAATGTCTCAGTTTGCTCAAGTATTCTGTTGCATTTTCTTTGACTCATCTCTTACCTATGCCTAATAGGATTCTGTGCGGCCTCTAGGTCTCCTTCGCTGCTGGCTTTCTGGGATTTTCCTTTATTATCTACCAGGGTATCCCTTCCTGTCTGTCATTCTTATGTCTTTTTCTGTTTGTGTTGATCCCATTGTTTTTGTGGATTACTTTCTGCAATTGGTTTAAATAATATCACTTGGTGTTTAGAAGTTGGAATTTTTAGTCAGAATCCATGTTGAAGTAGAATTTTGGAAACTTAGCTTGATTATTTTATATCTTAAGATGTAATAAGAGTCCCATGTCGTCGTCATTATCACCATCATTATCTTTAAGTAGTTCACAAAAGGGTTTCAATTTAATGTAACAGTTTATGTGTACAACAGATCTTGGTCAGTTTGTCACTTATTTTTGTTTTCCTTTTTTTGGAAACACTGGGATCATCTTGAGTTCTTGGAATACTGAGTTGCTTGTTTGTTTAACCAATTTGCAAGATGTCCTTTTAATCTGAAAATTTATCTCCATTTGGTTCCGTAATTTTTCTTGAATTATTTCTCTCATTATTCTCTTCTGTTTTCTCTGTTTTCTGTTGTTGTTGTTAAGCCTCTGGTATTTGATTTGAGTATTTCCTCCATGAATCTATCAGTTCTGACCTTTTCTCTCCTCATCTCTTATTCTTTGTGTCCTTCTTCCCAACAGTCCTGGAGATTTCTTCAGCTGTGTCTTCCAGCCTTAAGTTTTCCACTGCTGCCATGACATTTCTCTATTATTCTTCTTTTGTGGATGTAACATTCCTTCCTCTCTCTTGTGATGGAATGGGGCACAGACAGGTTTCTTGGAAGTTTGTGAGGCAGGGTTCATAGCTAATGGGCTTCAGATTTCTTGGAAGTTTGTGAGGCAGGCTTTGTAACTAGTGGGCTTCAATGTAAGTTGATCCCTGAGTGTTAACACAATACCGTAAGTCTTTTTTATAGGTTTCATCTCCTGCCTGGATATATACCTCTTATGGATTGAGTGAAAGAAAGGGGTTGAAATGTCCAATATTTAGACTTCTTTTTTTTTTGGGGGGGGGGGGGAGTACTGGGTTTCAAATTCAAGGCATCTACTAGACATATGCCTAGTGCTTTTTGCTTTATTTGCTTTTATGCTATGGCTTTGCTTTTGTGCCCAGGGCTAGCCTCAGACCTCAATCCACCTACTTCCATCTCCTACATAGTTGGGATCATGGGTGGTGTGATCCAGCACACCTGACTTGTTCTTTGAGGCAGGGTATTGATAACTTTTTACCTCAACCATCTTATCTCCATCTATAAAGTAGCTGTTTTTACAGATGTACACTAGATGGTGCCAAGCCTTATTGAGGATGTCTTGAACCCTGTTTTCAGTATTGTACACTTCAGCTGCATTCTGAGTTTCTTTCACTCTCTGCAGTAAATGAAGTCAGAGTGGAGTGGGCATTCTTGCTTTGGACTTAGGGAGAGAAGCTGAGGGTTTTATGAATGAGCTTTCAGCCAGCCTTTCTCTCTTCAGCTTCCCTTCATTTCTATGTCCCCAGATGCCCCTGTTCCTTGTTCCACACCCACATAAATCCAATCACTTCTGGCCTGTGGATAACATTTCAGCTTTCTCAGATTTCTGAAACTGGTTTTTGCTCATAATTCTAAGGACTTTTATTGCTTTTGTCATTTCTCCCTTGGGTGGCTCAAAGCTCTGTTTTTTGGTCATCCCTTGCTGTGTGACTTTAATGGAGATTCAGAGGAGCTAAGTGGATATTGAGTCTGCCAACTTTAGATGGCTTTGTGATGCCTCTCATAGCTCTTGTGTATTCTCTTTTTCTCTTCCCATTCCCCACGTTAAAGAATGCTTGTTTCTGCCCACCTTTCCCATTGCCGTCTCATTTTGCTGCTGCTTTCAGTGGCTCTTACATTTAAGCAAGGATCCAAATCTTGGCTTGGCTTGACTACTAAGGGCAGGATTTCAGGCGTTAATCTAATAATGACAAACGGATTATTAGGGGGCTCTAGAACAATCTGGCCTTTTCCGATGTTCTCAAAGTACACAAAGTAGTCACCCATTTACGTGTCAAATTGACCCCACTTTTTTGGAAGTTCACACACATAGAGAGGCTTGACCAAAGCATCTGAATGTGAAAATTTCCCTGTGTACCCAATTCTACCACGGATAGCCTCAGGTTCTCATTCTTAGTGGCATGTGCCTCTTCCAGATGGATTCAATACAATCATACTCTACATACTCACTTTTCTAAGCAAAAATGCCTTCACTTTTGTAAAGCGAAGTAGGATAGCGGAGGGTACAATGGTAATCTTCATATTTATGTCTTCATCGAATCCTGCTAGCACTTCTATTTTGAGTCACAATCACAGGCTCTGTGTCTTGCGTTGAAATGCAGGAGATCCTCTTCCAGAGGCTCTGAGTCCCAGGAGCTTGGGGAAGGAGGAGAAGAAAAGAAAAAACGAGACTCTCGGAAAAGTGGCTTTCTCAATTTAATCAAAGTCCGGTCCAAGTCAGAGCGGCCACCCACGGTGTTGATGACAGATGAACCCTCTTCACCAAAAGGCGCTGTGAGAAGTCCAGCTGTGGACACTCCCAGGAGAGACACAAAGGCAGCTGAGCACAATGGCAGTTTTGAACGCACCGAGGAGATAAAAACCCCCGACTCCTTTGAAGAGAGTCAAGGGGAAGAAACCGGGAGGCTGGAGCGTGCTGACAGTAGAGGCAGCCCACAGGGAGGGCGGAGATATGGGGTCCAGGTGATGGGCAGTGGTATGCTGGCAGAGATGAAGGCCAAGCAGGAGAAGAGAGCCGCCTGTGTGCAGAAGGTAAGGACTGTCCTTTTGTTGTGTTTTCCTTAGAGACCGTATAGCCCTCACCATGGTAGTGTGGCACAAGTGCACTTGGGCCCAAGGGCCACAGGGCTGAGGTGAGCCACTGCAGCTTTGAAGCTCCATCATTGGCTCTGAGAATTGACCCCTTCTCCCTGAACTTGTCATAATAGCCTGTGAGTGAGAGCTGTTCTTGGAAATGCTCATAGCTGTGAAAGACTGAGTCAGCTGAATTTGAATGCAGACCTTAGGGTGATTGTGGATAGGAGAATTGACAGGCTAACGCAAATACCACAACCAGATGATCATCACATAAAGGCTGAATCTAGTTCCCATTTATTTCAAAGTTTGACTTGTTTTTAATCTGCTGAGTCCTTTTTATAATTCCATATTTAAATAACAAAAGAAAAATTTAGGAGCTAGTGTTGGTATCTTATGCCTGTATTCCTAGCTATTCAAGAGACTGAAATTTGAGGATTAAGGTTTCAAGCCAGCCCAGGAAGACAAATCTATGAGATTTCCAGCAAAAAGCTGGAAGTAGAGGGGGCTGGGAGGTGGCTCAGTGGTAGAGCGCTTGCCTTGCATGCCTGAGGCCCTGGGTTTGATTCCTCAGCACCACATAAGCAGAAAAAAAAAGCCAGAAGTGACGCTGTGGCTCAAGTGGTAGAGTGCTAGCCTTGAGCTGAAGAGCTGAGGGACAGTGCCCAGGCCCAAAGTTCAGGCCCCATGACCGGACCCAAAAAAAAAAAAAAAAAAAAGGAAGTAGAGTGGGAGGTATAGCTCAAGTGGTAGAGTGTTATTCTTGAATGAAAATGAGAAGTGAGAACATAAGGCCCTGAGTTCGAAGCCCAGTAGCGGCTGCACCAAAATAAGGATGATGATGATGATGATGATGAAGAAAAAAACCAGAAAGAATAATTCAGGGCAGTCGTTTTCTAATTGTTTGGTTACTCAACCATTGATCAAGGAAAATTTCATATTTTAAAAATTGCAATCTATTCATTCTCAGAGTCTTTTCAGAGTGTTATATACCTGTTTCATCTACTTAAAAGAGAACATTCTTGTTACAGTCATTAACATAAACATGCCAATGTTGAACTCGAGTTTTAGTTACTGTTCATTAGCCTGAGTTGTGTTTTATTTTAATTTTTTTGTACTTGTTTGTGTACTGCAGGTTAAGCCAGTGCTCAATCCCGAACCATGCTACTAGGTTTCATCTTTTTTTAAGCTTTGTTTTTGAAGTAGAATCTCACTAATTGTGCGTAGGCTTTGTATCGAACTCATGCTCTTCCTGCCTTTATCTCCTGAGTAGCTGGGATTACAAGCATATCTTAAGCTCTATTGATTTTACCTATCCAAGTGCCTCAAAGAAAGGAATATTGTCCTCTGTTTTATGCAGAGTTTCAGAAGAAAACCATTCTCCCCAGTGAACCCTTGATTTTCAGAAGGTTAATAGTAAACTACATAGCCATGTTATAAAGGGATCTTTCATTTTAACTCTAAAAACTCCCTTCTATTAAATCCTGAATCCCACTTGATTTCACAGCTGTTCACCAGACCTCTTCTATCAGCATCAGCCCCTAACCATTACCTAGTTTCAGATTCCCTCAGTCAATGATAGAGGGAAGAGTTTTGAAAGAGTCCATGTAGTTTTCAAGGGAGACAGGATGGAGTCCTTACTGGTCAGAATTCTGATTATACACTACATCCATAGCATGAGTGAGTCACATGTCCAGAGGTTTATATTTTAATCCACTTGTAACTTCTTTATAACAGTGAATGGCATATTTTCACAAATTAGCTGTTTATTTTATCAATGATGCCAGGGATCATGCCAGTTGCTTTTTTGGTGGAAAAATGAGAAATCCTACTGTTGCCTTTTTTAGTGTGTGTGTGTGTGTGTGTGTGTGTGTGTGTGTGTGTGTGTGTGTGTGTGTGTGTGTGTGTGTGTGTGTGTGTGTGTGTGTGTGTGTGTATGCTTTGGATTAATACATAAATTGACTCAAAGTGGCACAATCCTTGTGGCTTAATGTAGTTTGTTTGTGGATGGATTATGTTACTGTTCTCTGAGCGCCATCTACTGTCAGTTTGAGCAACCATCACTACCAATTTTTAGTATATATAAAGTACACACCAATCATGGGTATTCATCAGAATAATAAAGAAAAGGTTTGTTTTTAAATTAGGTTTAGACTAAAATCCCACAACTATATCCTTTATAAAGGTAACACCATGATCATCCATATAGGGTCAATAGTCCATCCATGCTGTTGGTAAAATATATGATGCCTTTGCTTTCCTCCGAATAACTCTTCTTGCATTATCGATAATGCAGCAAACATCGATAGAAGAATCAGTAGGGGAAGATTTGTCACTTATTGAGTGCAATGGGTTGTAAGTGCTTAGGAATCATATCTTTCCTTCAGAGGGGCTCACCAAGTCAGCTGCTGGCACACCGGCACACTTAGTATTAGTATTATATTATTCTTATTTTGAACAGTCAAGTTTGAGATTCATATTTACCTCAGAAAACCTAGGAAAACAACAACAACAACACAGTAGAATACAAAGGTAAGGAGGTCCTTCCTCCAAGGAACCAGCCCTGCACTATAGATGTGTCCTGAGCACAGAGGACTAGCCTGGGGCTTCTTCCTTGGGGGTCACATTTCTATGGTGATGCCAGATGATATGCTTCTTGTAGTTATGGGGCTTGTGTACATGTTCCTTATCAGAGACCTGCTTAGCCCCTCCACTAGCTAAAGTAGAGCTCTGTGATCTCTCCACTCCCTGCTACTTCCTTGGAAGAGCTGGCACTTCCAGAAGGGTGTGGCTGGACACATAATCGAATGTAGTGAGTGGATTTCAAATTTTTTGTAACATCAAAGATATTCTAATTCAACATGTCAACTTATGAGTACAACGCATCTTGATCATGTATTTTTTTAATCTATGCTCTTCATTCTAATACAGACTTACGTACCATGAGGAAAAAAGTGTATGTACCACATACCAGGTACCATATCCTATGTACTATGAGGGAAGAAAGTGGTTCCTTAGTTCAACAGTTTTAGCTTCTGCCCTGAGACTGTGGCATTTGGCTTGTCCCATCTTTAGCACCACAAGCCCCTCCTCTCTGCAATTTTAAAAAAATTCATTGAGGCTTTGGGTTGTAGTTCTGTGGTAGAGTACTTGATCAGCATGCACGAACTCTTGAATTTGATCCGTAACACTAAAAAAAAAATAAACATAAAGTATAATCTTTTTTATTTTTCTCGCAACAACCTACCTGAATTCTGTGGTTCTGAGTCAGTAGCCTTTAAGCCGCTGTTCCTCAACTAGCTTTCTTGGAAACCAAGCCTAGAGAGGATTCCTTTACCTTGCATGGAGCATCAGGTCTGCTAGAAAGAGGAAATATTACTGAACTGGCTGGCTTTCCCTAGTGCCATGCACCTCCCCCTCTGGCAAATGGGCCTTGGGAGCCCAGAGCCTGGACTGTGTCCAGAACAGAGTGTGTCCTCATACCTTTGTCTCAACAGGAGCACCTTTGGGAGGCAGATCGTTCCAGCATGTTCCATGTCAAAAAGTGACAACATTTAGGAGCTATTGTTTGTTGTCATTTGTTATCTGCTGTTTTATTTTTGCCTCCTTATACCTCAAATGAACATACACGTTGGGGATGTTTTGTTTTTGTTTTTAGAAGTTTGGGAATGATGCCATCTCCCAGGATTCTTCTAGCTCAGCCCTGGAACGATTGGAAGGAGGTGGAGCAGGTAAGTCAGGCTATTGCTGTCACTCATTTGCTTTCTGGCTTCAGGAGTCATTTGCAATTAACAGAAGAAAAAAAAGGTGCGAGGAGAGGCAGAAGAGGCCTCAGTGTTGCATTTTCTCAACTCTCACTTAAAAATACCATATCCTAAAATAAATAAGCAAATACATACATACGATACTACATCCTTTTACCAGCTCTGGCACCTCCTGGGGAGACTTCTCCTATCCTTGTAGCCTTGTGCCTTGACAGGACACCTTTTCTCCATTCCCAAAGGGAGGAAATACTGATTAGTGAAGAAGGTGGAAGAGCATAGGAACATGGCAGATGGAGTTTTTGTTGTTGTTTTTTAAATAAGCCATACCTGACATCTGGAAGTTGGTTTTGTGTACTGCAAAAGAATAGTCTTCCCTTGAAATTTGAGTTTGCGTGAAATAAATTATCCATCATTTCTTTGACTTCTTAAGTATAATTAATGGGTGATATACTTGCAATGGAAACTGGGAAATGACTTGCAAATTACATGTTAGAAACTTGACTCTGCTGTTGGATGTACTTGTGCCTTTGTATAGTATAAAATCTATAGTATACAATCTTTCATGTTAGAATTCTGTAGTATACAATCTTTAGAGTTGGACTATAAATCACATTTACCAACTTGTTCTTGACAGCTATTTGGTTAAATTTAGGTAACAGAATAGATGCAGAATGTGATGTGATGTGTGGTGGTGTTCTCACCATTAAAAATGAGATTATGACTATCAACACAGCCCTCACTCAAAACTATTGCCAGAGTCTGGTTTGATAATTAGTCATCTAGAACTGAGGTCATCTTATTTAGTTTTATTTCTCCTTCTTGCTAGATTTGAGAACCTCTCTTCTTTTTGTGCACAATGAGGAAGTTGTGCACTGCTAAATATAAAACTTACCATCTTTAGAACACCCAGGGATCATCAGAAAAGTATCAGAAAGCTCATTACTTTTCTGTGAAGAACTTTAGTCTTTTACCAGTTCTAAAAAAAAAAAAAAACACTAAAATAATCCATATTTAAATGATTGGTCTCGCGATTTCATTTTTAAAAGTGTGATTTTCGTACCACTTTTATTCTAGTGCCTAAACTGCATCCTGGTCTCCCAGAGAACCGCTTTGGTTTGGGGACACCAGAGAAGAACACTAAAACAGAACCCAAAGTGGACATGGGCTCCAGGTCCCGGAATTCGTCCAGTACACCTACAAGCCCGAAGCCCCTTCTGCAGTCTCCCAAGCCCAGCCCAGCAGCAAGGCCCACCATTCCACAGAAACCAAGAACCATCTCCCGACCTGGTAAGGGTCTTGCTTGTCTGGGAGTCAGTTGGCAATCAGGATTGGTTTGATCTACGATTGGTCTTATGAGCAGCTGGTAAGCAGGATGTAGAGAGACCTCATAGGAAATCCACAGAAAGCTACAAAAATGGTAAAGACTGAAGGATTACCTTATTCAAGACCAAAGCCCACCACATATGAGAAGTGGAAACTCTGGAGATTCTCCTTGCATTCAAGACAACCAATTGGGTGGTAGGCAGGACAGGAAAATGAGCCCTGTGTCACATAGGCCCATATACAATGCCTGACTTGGCTTACTCAACTTCTCTCCAGGGTGTTCAAGCCTTTAAAAGGCCACAGTTTAAGAAAGCAACAGATGAGGAAAGCATAAGCTGTTATGTTATCACACTATGACATCCCAAATGTGTAGAACAGGGTTTGGCAAATTGTGGGCCTGTATTTTTAAATCAAGTTTGACCAGACACACCCACAGCATTTGTGTAGATGTTTCTAAAGTTCATTCATGGACTGTGACTAAGTAGAGTGATTGCCAAAGAGCTGTATGTCTGCAGATCCTAAGGTGTTTATTCTTTGGCCACTCACAAAAAGATGGATGATTGCTAATGTAGAAAAATCTAATGACAGAATGGGTGTGTGTGCACACACATGTGCATGGAACACATGTGTTGGTACAAGGGCTCTGTTGAGGGCTGTGTGTTGGCACTCAAGACCTTAAGCTCTCAATTTACTTTTTTTGCTCAAAGCAAGCCTCTGTAGCTCCACTTTTGGCTTTTTGCTAGTTACTCGGAAATAAGAGTCATGCACTTTTAAAACCAGGCTGGTTTTAAACCATGAGCCTCAGATCTCAGTCTCCTTAATAGTTAGAATAGCAGGTGTGAGCCACCATTGCCCAGCTAGGGTGTGGTTTTGGTTTTTTTTTTTTAAACTGTTGTTAGAATTTTCAATATTTACGGAAGTGGAATGGGTAAAATAATAAGCCCCACATTAACTGTTTGCCTCATCACTTTGTTTCCTCACAGAAAACAAACTAAAGACAACATGACTGAAGCATGGCTCACATGATAGAGCACTTGCTCAGCAAGCATGAGGGCTTCAGTTCAACCTCTAGTATTACCAGAGAAAGACTGACACACACAGACAGACATTAGTATTATCTTCCTAGATATTTCCTGAGGTATTTTTTTAGCCTAACATATTCTTCTTCATGTTTCCCATGACCAAAGGATTTTATGATGCTAAAACTTTGTTTCCAAATTATTCCCAAAGATTTCAATGTGTGTTTGTAGCTACATGTCAGTAAGTATGTTGTGACTCTTGCACTAGCTTTGACAACAGGAAAAGGCAATGTACTACAGTGTTACATATTTTAATACAAAATAGTCTTGTGTTTCAGACAGAAGGAACATGTGGCTCATTTATAGGCTAATCTTTAAATATCACTTTATTGAAATTGCTGTATCTGTCAAATAAGATAGGATCCTATCTGGGCCAATTTTAATCTTTTAGAATAATATTTTATTCTTTATTTTTGTGGGCATTAATTCCCTGAGCAGAAACAAAAAAAATTGGCCATAAAAATTCTATAATGCTTTTTTTTCCTTGTGAGTCATCTGTATGTAAAGATTCACTCGGCTTATGTGCTTGGAACAATTGATTCATGTGTTTGTGTTTTCATAGAAGACATCCCAGACTCTCCATCGGGCCCTAGTTCCCCTAAAGTTGCTCTTCTTCCACCTGTCCTGAAAAAAGTTCCCTCAGACAAAGAGAGAGATGGCCAGAATAGCCCCCAACCCAGTCCCAGGACATTTTCACAGGAAGGTAAGAACTTTTATTTCTGAGTTTGCTCTTCCCAAAGATAGTAATTTCAAAAGAAAGGAATGAATTCTGGTCCTAAAGAATATCTTGGCATTCAAATTAGCATCTCTTGGATGAAGGTTGAGGAACCAGAGTAATTCCTTAGTCTAGAAACTTAATTCAGCCTGCTGATGACATTGGATCTTAATGAAGAATTAAATGCATAGCAGAGACACCCAGCCCTAAGGACACACTTCTTTGCAGGAATAATCATAAGATGCTCTTGAATCAGCTCCCAGTGTGTCAGGAGCTCCTTAAACATGATTTTGTGACCTGTTTGACGCTATCTGCAGAATTTTAGGTACCAGTCGTTCCTGTCTGGGCTGGCTTTGAACCATGATCCTCAGATCTCAGCCTCTGGAGTAGCTAGGATTACAGGCATGAGCCACCAGTGCCCGGCTTCTCCCTATTCTTTTAAATGTACAGTTGACTTTCAGGTACTGGTTGTCCTTTGTAAAGTATAACATAAATGCTGTCTTTAAACTTCTCTACACCTTAAAAAAAAAATTCTAGAGCCACACAAATAGTCACATCACCCATGTCCAGATTGCTCTCATTTTGTTTGAAGTTCCTGGGTTTTATTTTAGTTATTTGTTAATGCTTCAGAATTCTTTGAATTCTTTCTGGTCTGACATCTTCCTACCTTGGCTTGTATTTATTATATTGGCCATAGTCTTATGTTGCAGCCTAGTTTTGTCTTTGTGGTTTTAGAGTCTATTAAGAAATAACGCTGGCTTTCTCTTCTCCCTTCTGCACATTCATTTGGTTGGTAAAAGCCTCACTCACCTACTGGCTATGAAAAAAGGGCAGGGGTAGAGGTGGGGCAGCGTCTGAAGCTGATAAAAGGCTTGTCAAAGAAACTAAAGGTATAAAAAGGTGGCTGGTAACTATAGATATTTCACATGGAAGAAATAAATACAGGGCTTGATATTACAGCCAAAGCTTTTAGAAGACTTGGCGTTAAGACAAGAATCTTCAGTGGTGATAAGTTAGCATGTCGAGAACCAGCGAGCATGCTCTGACAGCTTTCTCAACACACAGCCTCTCCCCCATTCCTACCACCCCCACCCTTCCCTCCCTTAAACACCCCCCCCCATCTCTCCTTTCTGTAACTGCTGACTTTGCACCTGTGTTTTCAGGGAAGCTTTGGAAATGCCTGAAAGAATTGAGTAGGGGGGTAGGTGGAGAAATTGGGAGGTACAAAGGGGTAGTAGTATAGTAAGGAGGAGGACTTTTCATCTTGTTAAGAGCAATTGAAATACTGAAGGGGTTACTCTCTCCCCCCCCCCCAAAAAAACTCTAAAGATTGAACAAAAAATCATTTTATGCACACATTTGGACAATGATGCTTTTAAAAATGTCTACAGATAATCAAAACAATGACTAGAGTAGTCTTGACAGTCTTGTGGATAAGATTGTGTGTCATAGAGCCTCCCTGGTTACAAAGAGCATGACATTGGATACCACTAGCAGACTTTTACCTACTGGGAAAAAGTAAATGTTCTTTCTTAAGGAGGTTAAAAGAATTTGGGGGATGGGGGAATACATGTTTGATTCCCCCTCCCATACCAGTAACAGATACTAGGAGACAGCTCATGCCCATCTTTCTAATTGGTTGGGACAACAGAGCAGTGGAATCCTTCACTTTCCCAGCTGGGATACAGAATAAAATAACCACAAGAGATTATGCTAATTATATTAGTTGGTTTTGAAATTGGACTAAAAATATCCATGAAATCTGAGAACAACTTCTGAATGTCCAAGGTGGTAAGATTGTAACTTTGGAGTTTATATCTCAGCTCATCTTCTACCATGGCCCAGAAATGGCAGCCAAGTGTGAGCCCTATTTTTCTCCCTAAAGACTGTTCCCGTTTTGCTCATTCCTGATTTCTTGTATATTATTCATGCTGGTTGCTTCATTTCCTTGTTCTGTGCCTCCCTTTGGACTAGCGTGCCCAACTAATTTCTGAAACAGGTAAATCACTGTGATTCTTCTGGATTATTCCATAGTGAATGTGATTTTTGTTAATCCATCGTGGAATCAAAATGGTAATAATGGGGTCTTTTTTGTTAGTATTTTTGGGGGCAGATTCAGAGCTCACCTCATTTTGCACGACATTTCCATAATGTTGGCTGTTGAATTCTGTAGATAATGGTCTATCTGCCCAGGATCAATACTTTTGAGTTCCTTGAATCCTAGGTTGGGTGGGTGAGCTGGTATTTAATTTGTAATATTAACACTTTTAATTTTAATGTAAACACATTGATGTATTTGCTACTACAAAGGGTAAAATGAGTACCTTTTCCTCAGTAGTGCAAAGAGGAGATTATTACAAAAGACATTCAGATCATGACAGTGGCAAGCCTTCCAGTAGAGGGAAAAGATCTTCAAAACTGTACTCCACCATTGCAGAAGAGGAAGTGAATGCATTTGGGCACAGGAAGTCACAGCCAACAAATGGTTAGAGCCTTTGATTATCATCCCTCACCGACCCAAAGCTTATGAACTGGCACTAACAAAAATGAACTTTAATTGAATAACTTCTATCATGGGACTGGGTCAGGGATTCATCATCTAGATGAGGTTTTATTTATTCAAAAAGCAACAGGATGGTCCTTTCATTGGGGGCAAGAAATACCGAGCCAATAATCTAAATTTAGATGTTACTATGAGGGAGGTTCAAGTTACCTTGGTAACTTGTCCATTTGAACTTTTGCCATCATAGAAGTTTATTTTTATATTTGGGGTCATATCTCCTATTTTCTTCCTTTATATCTTTTCTCTTTTTTAATGCATTAGATTAGAAATTCTTTTTATATTATTATTATTATTTATTTTTATTGTAAAGATGATGTACAGAAGGTACATAAGTTAGGTAATAAGTCAGGTTACATAAGTCAGGTAATAAGTACACTTTGTTAAACTAGATTAGAAATTCTTAATGCAATAGATTTTATTTCCTTAGAGTATTTTGACCTAAGGTGTCATTAACCTTAAACTATTGTAGGGAAAAAAATTCAATAAAAATAACCACTGACTGCCAATCTTGTGTCATATGGCTTTTCGATGGATTTTTATGACCTTTTAGTAACAAAGAAAAAAGTAGGAATTAACTTTTCCATCTTAAGGAACGATTTTTTTTTTAAAGCCCTTTCCTTAAAACTTCTATCTTCCATTTAGCCTTTTCAGTGAACTCTGTCATCATCTGTTCAAGTGGAATAATCACAGGAGATAAAAAGGAGACAGATTTCACTTCAGCTTTAACTTCCAATGGGAAATGTCTTATCCATGACAAAAGAACTCCTTAATCTCCCTGGTCACTAACTTTTTATAAATATGACTTGAAAAATCATTGAAAGGAAATCTTATTATAAAAGAAGAATATTCTGATATATCAGATTTCCTTAACAAACTTCTGCCCTAGGTGTGAACATACAATGGGTGCCAAGGGTAAATGACCTACACTGCCTCTTAAGAAACTATTCTACAATACAAGTTGGTAATAGAAATAACTTGTTTTTATTGCAAAAGGACTTTAGTATGAGCACTTTATTATGTATAATAAACTTCTTGTGCTCTAACTCAGCTTCTAGCTCAATGGGTGTAATACTTCACATGGGAACTTTTGTCTTGGAGAATTTTAATTCACATATTTTAATTAATTGATTTATCTTTTAAAGCAGACAGAGCAAGTTTATTGAATTTGAAAAGAAAGCTGTAAAAGGAGTAGGGAGAGTGTCTGTTCAGAGAAGGCTCCTAAAGAGGAATCCCCTTGATTCAGTGTTTTTTGTTTTTTCTTTTTTTTTCTTTTTTGTTGTTGTCAGTTGTAGGACCTGAACTTTGGGCCTGGGCGCTGTCCCTCAGCTCTTCAGCTCAAGGCTAATGCTCTACTGCTTGAGTCACAGCACCACTTCCAGCTTTTTCTGCTTATGTGGTACTGAGGAATCGAACGTAGGGCCTCATGCATGCAAGTCAAGCACTCTACCACTGAGCCACCTTCCCAGCCCCTTGATTCCAATTTTTAAACCAAAAAGTATCTACTGACTCATCATCCATCAACTATATTTGGAGTCTAGCCCCTGGGTCAGTACTCTGGGATGAGTCATACCCTCTTCCTTGGCTGGTGTTGACACAGGGTGGAGTTAAGGACACTACCCAGAGCATAAAACAAATGTAAAGAGAAAAGAACATTCTGTTTGGACCAGGCAGCATCTGCCCTAGATGATATCAACTATACTCGTCCTTTTTTCTTTTTTTGTAGTACTAGGCTACATCTGAGCTAAATCCCAACTGTTCCTTCATTTAAAAATGATTTCCTGTACAGGTGCATTTATAAATATACAGTTGTAATAATTCTTTTGTTTACAATCAAAATTTTTTGTGACATTGCCAGGAAAATCTTTAGTAGTTTCAGCCATAGAAAAGTTACATAACTGAACACCTAAGACACTTATTTTGTGAAAAGTTCTTTTTGAGAACGTATTAAGTCACAATTTCTTTCTCTATATTGTCTTTTTCATTAAAGATATCTGAGATTACATAGATGTTTCTAGATCCTGGAAATTTACCCTTGAGCATTTGTACCTGTTGACTTAAATCATTTATTAACACAGTATTTTTTTTCCCAGTCATGAAGGACTTGAACTTAGGGCCTATCCACTGTCCTTGGGCTCTTTTGCTCAAGACTAATGCTGTACCACTTTGAGACACAGTTCCACTTCCAGTTTTTTGATGGTTAATTGGAGATGAGTTTCCTGGACTTTCCTGCCTGGGCTGGCTTTGGTTGGTATTCCTCAGATCTCAGTCTCCTATGTAGCTATGATTACAGGTGTGAGTCATCACAATGCAATGTTCCTCCTTCAACAAAAACTAAAAGCACTTTCTACATGTGGAAAGACCACCCCTGGTGTCTCATTAATCATCCAGTAAGGCTTTGAGTCACAGTGGGTAAATGGCAGAAATAAGCCAAATCATTTTTTAAAAAGCAACCAGAAGAAATTCTGTGCTAGCTTAGATTTTTTTTCCATGACCTCATTAGCTGAAAATTCTCTTTGTGATGGGCTAGATAAAATCCTAATGAAATTAAATAGGACCATCTTGTATTAGCTTTTCTGCTTTGATTCTTAAAATAGACACAAAAGTAATTTTTATAAGGAGCTTCAATTAAAGTCATTTTATGTCTAATATCGTAATTTTGTTTTGTTAGTGCCGATTCCTAGCACTTGACCTCCTTCATCTTTGAGAACTGCATAGCAGTCTGCTTTTTGAGTGTTCCTGATTTGTTTTTTAAAAAAAAAAAAAAGCCAGGACAACTAATAAAGCCATGATTATCTACTTTTCCTTAAGTCTTTGAAGAACAGTTTTGCTTACACCAAGCATCTCTCTTAATTTCCTAAATCATGTATTTATGAAACCAACAGAGGCTATTGTTCTCAAAGCATGCTGCATATTTTTATCATGATTGTTATGTTTTGATTATATGGCTATTTTAATATTGATTTGACAGGTAAAATGCTTATTACTAGAAATATTTGCAACTGTGTCTTGAATTCCATTTATTTCCCCTCTATATTTAATCGCAAGCTGTGTTATTTATATTAGCATATAATCCTATTTTCTTGAAGAAAATAGTTGCTTTTTTGGCTTTGTATGTTGCAATGGATCATATTCGTACAGGGCATCTGATTCTGAAAGTCAGAATCAGATATGACTTTCTTGCGTCTTCTGTATTCAGCCTACAGCCAACAAATTCTTGGCTGTGGCTTGCAGTCTGTAAGCTAGTGATCTATTCATTCTTTTACCATATCCAAGTTACATTTCCATTAGAAGAATTCTTCAAGACAAATTTGGAAATTGTTTGGTATCTTTGGTTCTTGCTGGAAAGAATTAAACATTAGGGCCAACCACAACTGATTATTCTGATTCTGATAAGGCTTTTCTTCCATAAAATACAGATCTCAGCTGAGCTAACAGTGAAGAAATCTCAAAGTTTCATGTGAATCTCTGAGTTTATATGCATATTTCAGAATGTTTTTAATTAGCACATATACATATGCAAAATCAAATCAGCATCAAGAGCACAGACTTCAGGTTTGAGCCTCTCTGCAATAATTATCGCCATGATAGACAGGATGTGAATATGCAAGCAAGTGTTTGTGTTGAATAAATTACTAGTTCATTTACTTGAGCACTTTTGATCAATTAATGGTTTGTGGAATGGTAATAAGTATGTGTGGGGACACATATACAGACACACTCAACATTTTTAACTGCATGAAAATTTGTGTTGAAGAGGTATAAGAAAAACATTCTGATTTTTTAAAAACTCAAATCAAGCTGCTTAATCAAAATGCCTAAGAGAAGGTTTGTCTGAATTAGTAAAGATGTGCAAATTGTTTTAATATTTTAAAAATAAATTTTGGAGCTTTAAGTTGCAAGCAGGCAAAATCTATTGAATCTCTCTCTCTCTCTTCTCTCTCTCTCTCTCTCTCTCTCTCTCTCTCTCTCTCTCTCTCTCTCTCTCTCTCTCTCTCTCTCTCTCTGTCTTTCTTTTGGTCGTCATGGAGCTTGAACTCAGGGCCTGGGCCCCATTCCTGAGCTCTTTCTGCTCAAGGCTAACACTCTACCACTTTGAGCCATAGCTCTACTTCCTTGAGACCATCTCTTAATGATAGCCTAACCAAACCTACTTCTGTATATTTTTAATAACATTTTAATTATGTACACTCTACTAGATGCTCCGTAAGGGCTGGAAAATAAACTTGACAAAGAACATTCCTCCTACAAACCTGTTTGCACTAGGGATCTGGGCTAATGAGTCTAGACCTAAAGGCTGCGTACCTGAGTTTCCAGATTTACCAAGCATCAGTGGATTCCTGCTTCACTGTGCTTCAGATTTTCCTTCTGTGGACGGTGCCTGCCGATACCATTAAGGACATGTTAGCCTGGTCCTGAAGTCACTTTACATGCATCATAGTTGATAAAAGTTAAGCATTGAAGATAAGTATACTTAGAATAATTTCCCCTTTTTCCTTGTAGTATTGGGTATTTAACTTCGGACCTCACACATTCTAGGCTACCACTGAACGATACCCAGCTCCAGGATGAAATTTAAAGTGTCCCCACCATAGTAATGGTTTGACAGCCCTCTTGAAATAATGTGTTCTTTTCCACTCTCGTAATGTGTTGGATAAATTGTAGGTTTTGACTTCCATGACTAATATTCGCTCTTTGTCACCAAATCTGTATACTCCCCACCTCTGCTATCTCCCCAAACCCATCCTGGAAGACTCGGAAGCCAGTGTCCCTGACTTGAAGTATGATCTGCTTTTTGCTAAAAGATTCCTGTATTGTTTTTACATGAATTTTACTCTTGTTATATTTCAGATTATTATCTTTGAGATAAACAGTTTTGGTTTCATGAATTTAGAAAATACTTCTTTTTTTTTGCCAGTACCAGCATTTGAATTCAGGATTTTTGCTTGCTCCACTTGTTTGCTCAAAGCTGGTATTCTACCATTTGTGCTAATGCCTCCAGCCAGCATTTTGCTAGTTAATTGGAGATTAGGTCTCTCAGGCTTTTCTATCAAGGCTGGCTTTGAACCTTGATCGTTTGGATCTCTATGTCCTTTGTAACTTGAATTTCTGGCATGAGCCACTAGCACCTAGCTAGAAAATATTTTTTCTGTCTTATCATATAACATGAATTGGCTTTGAGATTACCTGAAAGCCAATATTGGAATTATTTTACTGTATGGATTAGAAAAAGTATATTTGCTCAGACGACACATAAACAATGTACCACCATATTTCTTTTTTCCCTTTGAGCCTGTAGTTGGAAATTTATTTTTTAGTACTTTGGTAAGGAGCAAAATCTTATGGTTTATAATAAAATGACAAGCTTATTGCAAATATCATAAGTCATGTTCTATTTTGAGGTTGAATTTATTCCAAGTATCTTTTTTTTTTTTTTGGGGGGGGGGGGAGTCTGGTCGTGGGGCCTGAACTCTGGGCCTGGGCATTGTCACTCAGCCCTTCAGCTCAAGGTTAGCACTTGAGCCACAACACCACTTCTGGCTTTTTTCTTTTTGCTTATGTGGTGCTGAGGAATTGAACCCAGGGCCTCCTGCATGCAAGGCAAGCGCTCTACCACTGAGCCACCTTCCCAGCCCTATTCCAAATATCTTCAAGATGAAGATACTATAAATCCTCGGTCACCTTGTTCTTAGTATAAGCTGAATTTGAGAGCTTTTTTCAGGTGAATATCAAGTTGGGGTTCTTTATATATGAATATCAAATTAGTTTAGTGATAAAGTATGAAGTATTTACAATTTTCTTTCCTTTCTGCCTGCCTGTCTGCCTGCCTTCCTGCCTTCCTGCCTGCCTGCCTGCCTGCCTTCTTTCTTTCTTTCTTTCTTTCTTTCTTTCTTTCTTTCTTTCTTTCTTTCTTTCTTTCTTTCTTTCTTTCTTTCTTTCTTCCTTTCCTTCTTTCTTTCTTTCTTTCTTTCTTTCGTTCTTTCTTTCTTTCTTTCTTTCTTTCGTTCTTTCTTTCGTTCTTTCTTTCTTTCTTTTTTGGTTGGTTGTGGGGATTGAACTGAGTGTCTGGGCACTGTTCCTGAGGTCTTTTTGCTCAAGGCTAGCTCTCTACCCTTTGAGCCATAGCTCCACTTACTGTTTTCTGGTGGTTAATTGGTAAGCGTCTCATGGACTTTGCTTCCTGGGCTGGCTTTGAACCACGATCCTCAGATCTCACTCTCCTGAGTAGCTAGGATTGCAGGCATGAGCCACCAGCCCCTGGCTGTGTTTGATGGACCAGTCGACCTATATGTACAATTTTTCTCCCAATACAAGCTTAAAAAGTAAGAATCTGTACAATTTAAAAATGTACAAAAAATTTAAAAAAAATCTGGCCAGGTACTGGTAACTCACACCTGAAATCATAGCTGCTCAGGAAGCTAAGATCTGAAGATCCCAGTTCAAAGCCTGCCTAGGAAGAAAATGTCTGTGAGAGCCTTATCTCCAATTAACCAGAAAAAAGCCAGAAACAGAGGTGTGGCTCAAGTGGTAGAGTCAGCCTTGAGCAAAAAAAACAAGTAAGAGAGGCCCAGATTTGGTACCTATACCCTCATATGGGTACCACTCTACACTGATAATGTTCCCAAAGATATTGGACAAAAAAATAAGCAACAAAAAAATGGAGAGTGGTTTGAGACAGGGTCCTGAAATGTAGCCCAAGCTGGTTTTATAAATGCAGTCTTTCTGCCTCCATTTGCCAGTTGCTGGGATTACAAAACTGTGCCACCACATCTGGCTCAAAAATTTTAAATTACATGTTTTCCTTTCAAAATTTCACAAGATTTTTAAAAAAAGTCTGTGTTTTTGTTGTTTACAGTCTAGAATCTGGTTGTGACAACAGAATTGGCAACAGAAGTACTGTAGTATGTTTATATTTTCATTATTGGATATAATGAGCTTTTGTTTCCTGAAATCATCTTTGTTGAGTTGGACATTTACATAATCAGCTCCTGGCACGATGAATTATTTAGCAAAATGTAAAAATCAAAATAATTAGAAGCATCAAATGAAACCTGTAGCTTTTTTTAGAACTGAAATATAATGTTTCTGGTTGGACTATTTTAATGAGGCAATTGTACTCTTCTTTCAAGCTGCTTTATAAATGACACAGATTTGGGATATTTTAGCTCATGTTGTGTCTATACAATGGACATGTGAGTAATATTTAATAACTCTTAATAGTATCTTGGAATTTAACATCTAAATAAACCATTCCCAAGGCATAACAGCAGTGAAGCCACAATCTAGTTGGAATTTTTTTTAAGGGCTTTAGAGAGACAGATTATACTTAGAATCCTGGTTCCAAGTTTTAAAGAACCTATCTTACAGGGTTATTATGAGGAGGAGTGTTAATGAAACAATTGTGCCTGGCATTTAATAAAAGCTCAGTTCCTGTAATGGTTCTCCTGCTGTCCATTTATAAAGTCACAATGAATTCTTCATATGTGTCCATACTCCCAACAGGCAGTAATTGTAATCCTTTTACCTGAGGATTGAATGTATCACGGGCAGTATTTGTGTTCACAGACATTATTTTAAAGACTGTGAAAAGTATTCATTTGCTTGAGAGTAAAGATGAGACATTAAGACTTGAAAGCTGAGACACAGAATGGTCTAACAAAAATTCCTGGGACCTTTACTGATATCCTCCCAGCCAAGGCAGAGATAACCAGCCCTAAACTATTTGCAGAAGATATCAAATGGGAATCTTTCCAGCCAGCACTTCCCAAAGGCTATGCCTGCTCCCTGGGCCACCTGAAGGGGGCAGCTGTGATTGAGGAGGTCACCTGGTACAGAACAGTCTCACCTTGGTGTGTCTCTCCTTCCTGTGTCTCTCTGCTTTGCCACCATCCTTGCCTTTGGGGTCCTCATCTCAGATTCTCAATCACATCTATGAGAGGTTCACCCTGTCATAGATTGGTTTTTGTTTTGTTATGTTTTGGTTTTTGGTATGTTTTTGCCTGTTACATTTGTGGTTTTGTTGGTTTGTTCTAAAATTGTAGTATCTAAATGTAATAAACAAGTTTGTTTCTGATGAAGTTCATCCCAACTGCTACCCTCCTCCTCACTTCTTAGGGCTCCTGTACACACCCCATTGTTAGCCAGGCCATTAGTATTGCTTTGTCAATAATCTGTCAATGCCTTTGATTTCAGTTTCAAGGAGAAGCTGGGGCCAGCAGGCCCAAGAGAATCAAGAAAAAAAGCAACGCTCCTCCAGTAGAGATGGGCCCCCAGGCAGCAGGTCTAGTGACTCCGGAGAAGAGACTGAAAAAGAGTTTATTTTTGTGTAAAAGTCACCCAAGCAGAAGTCTTCCTGGGTAGGGTGATTTTGTCAGCCTTCAGAGAGGAACCAAGGGCAACACCTCTTCCCTTCTCTTGGTGCTTTATTCTGTTCTCTTTTTTTCTTCCTTCTTTTTTCTTTCCTTTTTTTTTTTAAGTGTAAAAACAGATCAATTTCTTGATTATCAAAGCACTTTTTTTTTTTGCCTTTCCCCTAATTCTTGGCATTTGAATTCTCAATATTATTCCTATGCCCTCAATGAAAGCCAGCAATTATACCATGGGCCCTACTTGAATTTCTCTGAGGCAGCTACAAACTGCCCTGCAAGATGAATTTTCAGAGGTTAACAAAGTAACTGGATCCACAGTCACACAAGTAACTTCATCCAGTAGACCATAGGGGTACTGCTGAATGCACTTGTGTCAAATCTGCACATAATTCAATATAGCAATTTATTCTTGATGTACGCAATTGCACATTGTAATTATATTAACAGAGCACACTAATAAATAATTTGTATAAATTATATATATTAGATCTTGGGTATGATTTTTTTACATTATCCCATGGAGAACTTCTTTCCTCCTGATATGGAATTGTATATTAAAAGCTTGGTTGGTGACCTTCACATACCATCAACAATCACAGCTTAAGAACAGAGTGAGATAGGCCAATGGCTTATTTTACCATGTGCCCAGATTAGTGTATATACCCGATTGAAATGAGGTTTTATGAATATCCATGTTTTTGAAGGCCTTTAATGTCTGTCTGCATAATAGCTTTTAATGTGTGATTTTAAGAGAGAAATACTTTGACACCTGTAAAATATTAAAATACAGTTCTTTATAAGACATTTCACAAATATTCACTTACATTACAGGCTGAAGGTATTTTATTCATATGTATTATATTTATACCAATAAAATGATTTTACAAGTGGAATTTTTTTACCTTCTCTGGTTTTTTTAAAGTTAGGATTGGCTTATGTTGGTGACTTGAAATTTGTTTCTAAGATCTAAAATAATTACCATTCTTAGACCTGGGAAACATCTGCAAAATACATATAATTTGCTAATTCTTATGCATGCTCTTAATTCTCAAGGGAAAAATGATAAAATTTACTACATGAGCATAAAATTCTGACCGTGATCTAAATCCCACTGCACAAATTAAGAACAAAGAAAAGATGCAGGCAGAGTAAAGAAGCTGATTAGAAGAGTTGCAAGCCCTATGGTCCTGTGTTGCAAAGGAGAATCACAGAAGAGGGAGCTTATGGGACCTGACACTGTCCCTTACCATCCTCCCCCCACCATCTTCTGGTGTCTGGCATGTTCATAAGTGCCAGTAAATGGAACACTGGACAGCGACATGCTGTCGCCACATGATTTTATGATGGCAGACAGAGACAAAATCATTTCCTCCAACTGTGGCTCTGCTGTGGTTAAACACTGGTAGGCTTAGACACCTCTAAAGATTGTCAAAGTGGGATACACGTAAGGCAGGGATGGGTGTGGTGCCCTAAAGAGCTAAGAAAATGTGAGAGGCAGACTCATGCCTCAACTAAGTGTGGTGATCAGACTCATGTCAGTTGTGCTCCATGAAGGACATTAGTTAGCATTGTGACTCAAGACACCTCAGAGGAAGTGACATTTATGCAAAGCCTTGAAGTAATGCCATCAGAAATACAGTGGCCCTGTCTTATTCTTATTCTCCCTCTGTTAGCCAGAGGGAGATGCAGAGCAATCAAGCCCATGTTTACTTAGAATTCTGCATGGTTTAAAAAGCCCACTTGCTTTCAATTCTACCCTCTTCTTTTTGAGTTTCAGCATGTGTTCTGTCCTTTTTTATTTTTTACTGTTATTATATAGGTGCTACTTTTATATAGAAGCTGTTCTTAAAAGCAGGAAAAGGTCAGTGAATAACCTCATTGGTTTCCTACACAGCTTGTCATGCAGTGGGAACGATGGAATATTTTAACCAATAATGTAATCAGAAATGGATTTTACAATACTAGGAACTGAAGGTAGATACCTAGAGAAGTGAATGAACAAGAATGCTGCATTTTCCCTCTCATGGTGATCAGGATGTGTCCACTTGTGATTACCTTTTAACAGAATTTGATGTAACCTAAGCCACTGATAGTGAATTGCTGCCACCCCCCTTATTTTCCCTCCCTCCCCACCTTGTTTTACATATGCAGAACCTAAGCTAGGAGTAGGATAAGGAATTCACATTGCACTCCTAGTTCTTTGGGAGGTGACTCCCTTGTGTGACTTTAATGAGCAGATTCTTCTTCTAATTTTTTTCTCCTTGTTTAACATGGGTTAGTTTGGGTCTATATAGCACGGGCCATTGGTCAGGCATATGTCAAGTGTTGGAGAAAAATCAAATTACAATCAAAACCTGGTCACTGAAAAGGCGGGAAGAGGGCACTGGACACCTGCTTCACTGGGAAGGGAAAATAAAGCATTTTCATTATTGCCCCTGCCCTGTGTTGGCTCATTTTTCCCAGACCATTCAGTTCTTCTAGTTGACTGTTCATTTAATGCTTCATTTGCAAAACAGCTATGTTTCCAGAGAAAATAGTTCAGGAACTGAAAGGCAAACAACAATAGGCCTCCTTTTGCTAAGAAGAAGGGAATTATAAGAGCAAAGCCCAGTCATTAGGATGGCTTTGATATTTCAATAGAAAAGGTGTATCTGCCCTCAATCTCAGATGTGAAACTCTTAAATTGAGAAAGCCTTGGAAGGATTTTTGCTCAGCACTTTCACCTGCTAGCACTATGAAAGGCAATCCTGGATTATAATGATGTTGGCACTTTCATGGAGTCTCTTTGCTGTTTCCCTCAGCCCCAGGGGGGTGTCCTCAGCAGAAGGCTATCCATTGCAATGCTGACCCTCATTTCCACTCTCAGCCCCTCACTCTTATCATTGCCATCTACCTGTTGCCCAAATAGGAATTTACCTTCCTCAGTTTCTGAACCCAAAACCTAACCTCTTAGCCAAACTACTAAAGCCAAGAAAGTCGAGGAAGACAAAGGACGAAGGAAGAACAGTGTGTTCTTTTGTTGCCTGTGCCTTTTTATTTTTCCTTTGCACTGAGTTTGGACTGAATGAAGCAGAACTGCAATCAAAAGCTGTTTGAGGTAGTCTGCTCCTTGCCTCTGATGGTTCAGCCCAGGACAGGGCAAACTGATCAGTGATCTGCATCATTTAACATCCAGTCTCCTTCCTGGCTGATCAGAGAATGAAGATGAAAGTCCATTCCTTACTGTGAAAGGTCACCCAACAACTCCTCAGGGTAGGCTGAGGCCTCCATTGAGATAAAGACACAGTTCAGGGTTCCTCTACTCACCTTTGCCCTCTCTGCCCACTCATTTCATTCTGCACATGTGTTCTAAAGGAAACCCCAATAACTGAGACTCCATGTCAGAGTTAGCTTCCTAAGAATCCAGCCTGTGATGAGAGTGTATTTAAAGAGGCCCATATCTACATTGAATGCATGTGACGGAATATTTCTAATTCATAACCAGCATCATAAGCATCATTGAGACTCTGAACACTTCAGGGATTATACACCAGGTTTTCCTTTCATACAAATACTGTCACTGTTTCTTTCCCCAGGACAGTATTGGGCAACTCCTTCTCATGTAGCCTCCTGGCATTTCCTTGCCAGAGAGAGGGTGCATCTTGGGGGAGAAATGCTGCCCTGCAGCTTCCTATGAGAGCAAAACTGGTCTTCCACTAGCAGAGGCTGCACAATTAGGCTCTGGAAACATTTGCGAGTTCCTTTCTGGCTTCTCTCCAGCACTATAGCCATCTTTGTCACACCACAAGGGCTGAACTCTGATCTCTTCATTAAACATTCACAAATATTTGGAGTGACTATTACATGCCAAACACCAGCATAGTGTTTTCCTCTCCCTGGAGACTACATCTGGCCCAGCATTACCAGAAACTTCCCCAACCTGAGAGCCATTCCTGAGAGCTTAAACTTCTTAGTAGCTTTCCTAGTGCTAGAGTTAATTCACTCTTTAACCTGAGTTCCACATTTTGTTTCTTTCCATTATTTTTAATCTCTTTCTTGACCAGAGTAGCTTCCAATTCCCAGTAGACGCCTCCACTGTTCCCCCATCCTTAAGTTTTGCTGAACTGAAGATTCTCCATGGTATATGCCAATATGGTGAGCTTAGTGCTTAATGCTTTCTGGTATTTGTGAAGTGTTTCCAAAAGCTCTATTATCCACAGTTCTCATACAAAGAAACTGAGTAATAGAGTGGTTGGGGCCCTCCAGAAATCCTCTAGAAAGATGGAAAAGATGACAAGAAGAGTAGGAAATACCTGAGCTTTGGTCTGTACCAGGCACTGTACAAGCCATTTTGCCTATTTAAATCCCTAGAACAACCCTGTGCAAAGGGTAGTATTCTCATCCCCATTTAAAAATAAAGAATTTAGGACTCAGAGAAATGGAATAACTTACCCAGGGTTACACAGCTTATGACCCAGGCAGTCAATTATCAAGACATTGACCTGCAAGCATCACAGAACACCAGCCTATTTCCTGATTCCCCATTCAAAACTCTTGGAAACAGGTGGGAGTGACAGAGAAGAGCATGGACAAGTAAATCCCAAAGTTCCCACTAACACTACTGCATAAAGCACAACCAGTCTCCTGTCTGTAGAAAAGTCCTGGCACTAAGTACTACTTAAATGAGTAGAACTGAGGCTCCTCCAGCTTTGCCTTTGCAACAAGCTGATACTGGGGAGAGGTGGAAACAAGGTCCCACCCAGAAGAGGGGTTATTTCCTTAAGATTAGAACCCCCAGGGTCCCAGTGCTGGTTAATAATGCACTGATTGTAGCTTTATTATCAGCCACAAGAACAGAAGCAGTCTTGATTAGCTCACAACAACCTCCCTGGGCAAAGTTAGGGAAGTGGCTGGTCCATTTAATGCAAGCAGGTAGCAATCAAAGGATCCTCTGCTTTCTCCTAGCCAGACACCCAAGGCTGGCATAATCTCCTTTGTGGTCAAGCCTGGAGCACTGGAGCATGCCAATGCTGCTAAGCTTAGATTATTACAGTGTTTTTTGGAGATCTAAAAATGTTCCAAATGTCTATTTGCCATATATATATATATATATATATATATATGTATATATATACATACATATATATGTATACATACATACATATATGTATATATATACATATAGATATAGATATATGGCAAATATATATATGGAGACAGACAGAGAGAGCTCAAGGCAGGAAGTTCTTCCTGACTTTGCAGATGCAGGTGGGAAGGAAGTGCCATGCCTGAAAAGCCCTGTGGGCACCATGGCACGTGCCTCTTTGTTGGCACAGGGACTCTGCCAGCTGGTTTGTGATGTCTCAAAGAAGTGATTTGGCTTTTCATCCACAATGTGAAGGTGTCCAGAGCAAAGCTGGGCCTGAAGATATCTCTGCGTGTCCAGTGGCTCTACCACCTGCCCTCAGCATGGTCTGTGTTCCCAGGCTCTGGAAGCTGGTCCTTGACTGGTACAACCACTCGGTTGGCTGTTGGGGCAGCTGTCATGGGATGGGATGTAGGGAGGAATGTGAAAGGGCCAATTGGGAACAAGGACATTCATAAAGCTCTGAACAGAGATCATAGACTGCCCCTGACCTACAAGTGTGAAGGAAAGATGAATAAGAGGTAAGTCATGAACTAGGAATGGATGTGGGAACCTTTTCAAGTTATTTAACTGTCCAGATGATAAAGTTGCCCTACATAATTCAGACTGGAGTTTAATCCTCACTGTCCTAATGACATTAAGAGAGCAGAATCTTAAATCTGACTATAGTACTTCAAATTAGGCCCATTGGAACATGATTAAATTAGAAGAGGTTACTAGAATGGGTCCCATTATTAGTTCTGGTAGTTTTATAAGAAGCGAGAGATAGCCCACACAGGCAAAGATACAGGAACTCCTGCTGTGAAGTGAGGTAGCCAATGGAATTCTTAGAAGTATCTGCCATATTGTTTGCAGTCTCAGCTCCCAAAACTAATGGGTAAACAGACATCTATTTTTACAGTAGCC